AGGCTGGCACTGCCAGGTAAAAAGTAGTCTTGGGATGGCCTCTGCCTGGGAACAACAACTCAATGACCACCCTCTCCCTTGGCAGCTCAAATCTTCTCTAACTCAGAATCAGAGCCCTTCAGAGGCAGAAAGGCACCTACATCCTCAGCGACTCCTGGGCTTAGGCATGAGAGAGGCTGGCACCAAGCCGGGGAGGGGAACAGCCCTCAGTGTCTTTTCCCACCCTCTTCGAGTTTCAGGCCTGGACCCCCCCCCCCCGCACCTACACTGTCCCCTAACCTCCGTGGTGGTTCCAAAAGAGTATCTCTTGCCCGACGATCGCCAGTCTGGGTCCTTTGAAACTGAACTTGTACTCAAACCTTCGGTGCCAAGGAGGAGCTGCCCTGGCCTGGCTGCAGGAGGGCAGCAAGAGGCAGAGGAGGCAGAGGAGAGGAGAAGGGCCAGACTCCATGGGCCCCAGATCAGTGGCACCTGCTCTCGCCTGAAGTACCTCCAACAGGCTGGCAGAGTGGATCCAGTATCCACGTGGAAGAAAGGGAGGGAGGGGCTCCCAGAGCTTAGAGGAAGAGCTGCTGGGGAGGGGCAGTCCAAGGGACTGAGGAGGATGTAGGCACTGCCCAGGAGCCGGGCTCCTTCCTTCTTCCTTACACCAGCTGTTTGCCCACGTTGGGTGGGATGAAGTGCAAGCTCTCCTGGCATTCAAGACCCTCTGAAGCCTGCCTGCCCATCTTGCCAGTCCCCTCCCCCTGCTTCTCTCTGTACATGAAGACCAGGCTGGTCTCCTTGCTATGCTACCAACACATTCATACCTCCCTGGTCACACTACCCAGTTGATCAAGGCTTTCCTGAGCCCCCTACTCTGTGTAAGCCCTCAGAGGGCATTCCATCCAGGAACTCAGGAAGCTCATGCTATATATTATGATCCCCATTTTACAGTTGAGGAAATTGAGGCAGACAGCGGTTAAATGACTTGCCCAGGGTCACACAGTTAGTTAAGCATCTGAGGCCAGATTTGAACTCAGGTCTTCCTGACTCCAGGCCCACCCAGGCACCAGTCCTAATGTTAATGGTCCTCTCTTGGTTTTCCTAATCCACAAAATAGGGTTACCATTTCCTTCTTGCACACCCTGGCCAATGAATGAATTGTGCCCAAAATTGAAAAGAAGGATAGGAAGCTGGACTGCCTTTGGGAAGCTGCCGTGTTCCCCAAGCTCCTCCCAGAACGATGATGTCTATCCTTTTAATGCCAATACTTTCCTGGTGGCACAGCTATGACGCTGGCTTGGGAGAAGTGAAAAGGAGTCTCACCCAGAAGGCAAGGACAGATAATCAATAGCTCACATGTTCCACTGTCTCCTTGGGATTCCAAAACAACCATGGAAAGTCCCCAACATGCTGGGTGTAAATCCCATGACAAACAGCGGGACATGAACATGTCAAAAAGGATGGGCAGCCATGAAAATGGGTTTGAATCTGCAGCATTGGCGGGAAGACCTGAATTCAAATCCTGCCCAAAATACTAAATAGCCCTGCAACCCTGGGCAACTCAGGCACCCTCCCTTAGCCTCTACTTCTCTGTAAAATGGGGATATTAACAACACCTACTTTGTAGGCTGCTGTGGGGCTCAAATGAGGTAATATATGCAAATATGTTACCTGTAATTGCTGTTCAGTCACTTTAGTTGTGTCTGACTCTGTGTGACCTTGGCAAAGGTACTGGAAGCGGTTGGCCATTTCCTTCTCCAGGAAACTGAGTAAAATAGAATTAAGTGACTTGGCCAGGGTCACACAGCTAATACGTGTCTGAGGTCAAATTTGAACTCAAGTCCTCCTGACTCTAGGACTAGCACTTTATACATCTAGCTGTCCCATGTTGTTGTTACTAATACTACTACACTACTGCTATTACTACTGCTACTGCTACTACTAGTACCACTACAACTACTACAGCTACTACTGCTGCTACTATTACTACTACTACTACTACTAGTACTACTACTACAACTACTACAGCATCTGGGTGGTACAATGGACAATGGTGGGCCTGGAGTCAGGAAGACCTCGGTTCAAATCCCGCCTCAGATGCTTAATTAGCAGTATGACCCTGGAAAAAGTCCCTTAACCAGTCTGGCTCAGTTTCCTCAATAGCAGCATCTGCCCTCCAGGGCTGTCGCAAGGATCACATGAGCTGCCTGTAAAGCGCTCAGCACACAGCTGTTGTGGTTCGTCTGGAAGAGGACCACGACATCAGGAAGCGGATGCCATGATATTCAAGGGAACAGATTTGAGGGGCGAGGGCTGTGCAAGGTCCCTGGCCTTACCTTCTCCTCCATAGCCACCTGGGTCCAGGGGCGAGATACAGCTCAGCGTGACTGCAGAGGCCCCCTTGGCACATGGCAGGGGCTTAACAAATGCTACCTTTGGTGGCCGCTTCAAAAGCTGAAGGTTAAGGACCTACAGATGCCAGCAGCGGTCACAAGCAGACCAGGCAGGGGTGTTGAGTGAATAGTGACAGGTTGCTAAGTCACTACTCCTCGCAATGACATGTTTTATGTCATGGTCCTTGGGCGGCAGCAGGCTCCAGAGGCCTACAGATCTCTCTTCAAAACCACAATTTTAAAGGCATAAAATAAAATACGTAGGATTACAAAGCAAACCGAAGGTTGGTGAAAATAAAGATGTTATTTTCCCTCCAAGTTTACAGACCCCCCGAAATCCGTGAACTCCGAGTTAAGAACTCCTGTGACAGAGGTATAGTGGATGATAAGACAGGTGGGCACCCAGACCATGAGAGGCCTTGGATTCCAGGCTGAGCTTGGATTTTATTCAGTAGGCCAAAGGGAGCCATGGAAGGTCTGGGAGTATAAAACTGGCTTGATTAGAGGTAGGTGTTAGAAAAATTGTTCTGGCTACCATGTGTAACTGGGAAGATCTGGGTTCAAAGTCCTACCTTTGATACATATTCATGATATGGAACCCGGACAAGACATTTAACCTCTGGGTAATGTAGGCAATTAATGCAGAGAAGGTGCTGATCTGCACTGGTGGAGGGAATGTGCTCACCTGGGAATTCTCAATCCGTATATCCTTACCATGGTTACAAAAGGAAAAAAAAATAAAGACAGGCTGACCAGGTGGGAGGCTCCTATAACAGGCTGTGCCCAAGGAAGGGGAGAGGGGTGCACAGTAGGGAGAAGGGAAAGGAAGGATGTGAGCTTCTCTGGAAGTGGTGGGCTCTTCTTCCCACCCAGAAGCTGAATGACCACTGGCTGGAAACATCTTGGGGGTTGGGCTGGGGATTCCTATTTAGATGCTAAGTTGGCCCAGATGTCCAACTACCAGTTGAAGTTTCTTTTGTGAACTCTGGGGGTAAAACAGGGAACCAGGCGGAATGTGTTTGGTTCGATTACAAACAAGTCTCTTAATGGTTACTTATTGAACTTAGCTCCCCAAAGAGGCCATTGGATTGGTGGGGGAACTGGACAAGTGAGCCAGGGCCCGGAGTGTCCAAGCCACAAGTAATGCTCTTGGACAAACACGAACATCACCATTCTCCCTCCGGGTGTCACAGAGCCAAGCAGATCCTTTCCTCCTTGGGAATAAGCCCTAGAAAGCCTGTGTGGTGGCTGGGAGAAGGGGGGAGGTGCTAGGATCTGGCCCTAAAAAGGGAAGGGGAGATAACTGGGGATTAGGTGTGGCTGATCCCCGAATTCAAGGTCTATGTGGAGGGCCTCTGGGCCTCCAAGTAACGGTTTCAAGATCAGCAGTACAGAAAAGCCACGGGGCCAAGGGAGCGGGGAGGTCCTGGGCTGGTTCTCAAAGGGAGCTGATGTCTTAGGGGTCAACTCCAGCCTTTTCAGCCTGTACCCTTCAGAAGGATGTGAAGAACACAGAAGGACTTGGTAACTACTCGGTCCCTCCCTTTCCACAGCACCACCTATCTTCCACTTTTCCAAATCTCATCAGTCTTTAGGACCCAGTTCAGGTCACCTCCTCCAGGAAGCCTTCCCTGGCTAGTTAACTCCAATACAAATCTCTTCCCACTGTGGGACACAAACACTCAGGTGTTCCTATCACTCATGTTCACATTTAAACATGTCACCATCCTGTTGCATAAGCCCTGTCTCCCTACCCAGACTATGAATTCCCCAAAGTCCAGGCCCATGTCTCCTCCTGTCTGGGGCTGGACACATCAGATGTCATTCTCAGGGGGCCTGGTCCTGAATCCTTCCTGCCCCATTCTCCAACCTGTGGGCCATATGTCTCTTCTAGGACTCAGGCTTCCTGCACCCCTGCCTCTAGGCACCTACAAGGAACACAATCCCACTCCCCAATACGGCCCACAAGAGAACAGACTGTTGGCCCTTCTCTCCTTTGCCCCCTTTCTACATTTTCCAGCCTCAAAATAAAAGGAAGTGTGGATCTCCTAGAACCTCCTTCCTTAATGCCCATGTCAGACTACTGACCCCTTTTCCCATCTGTGATTATCATTCCCAACACCCGGTTCAGCTCTCAATTCTAATCTGGGGAGCTGGGAGGGTCAGAGTAGGAGTGAGGGGTTGGGGACAGGACCAAGGGACATAGACAGCAGAAGACACCCCCCCCCAAGCCACAGAGCCAACAGCATGAGAATTCGGGCACCCATCTGCGACTTCTCCATCGTCACGGGCCCAGCTCCCACAGAGTGAGAGGTGGGCTTCCCACTGAAGCGGGAGGGAGGTTAGAGCTCGCTGATGGTGACGGACACAAGACACTCATGCAGGTAACAGAAGGCAGTTGACATCTCCCCAAGAGGCCCCCTCCCGCCACCCTCTCCCGATACAATGGGACAAGCACAGTCCTGCTCGTAGAGACAGGGGGATGGACAAGATGGCAGGGACAGTGGTCAGGGGGGATCCTCTCAAGCCTCAGTCAGGTTCGGGAGGGGCCCCCCTCAGGTTGGGGGTGTGGAGGGAGGCGGGCAGGCAGGCCCCCGAGAGAGGACGCGCTGAGGCTGGGGGTGTTGGGTGTCCTCATGGAATGGTTTATTACAGTTTCATCTCACAGGGTGGGCAGCAATACAGGAGATTAAAGCACCGGACAGAAACGCAAAGGCCTCTGGGATCGGCATGCAACATTGAGACAGGGTCAAGCGCAAACACCAGGCCCGAGGCTAGGAGATGGGCGGGGGACGGGCATGGGCTGCTTCAGAGGGTCCACGGGAGAGAGCTTGGGGGGAGAGGGCGTTTCTTTTCTTTCTGTTCCCTTCCCCCTCTGCCCTTAATACATTAAGAATGAGATTCGTACTTCTTGTAAAATGCCCAATGTTGGGTATTTTTTTTTCTCCTCAACTTGAAAATTAAAAAAAAAACAGGAAAAAAATCATAAAAAAAGAGTAAGAAAGAAGAAAATGAGAGAGGCAGGAGCCAGGAGGACAGGGGGAGACAAGGGAGAGTCTGCCCCTTCCTCCCATTTCAGTGCAGTCCCCCAAACCCCTTTGGTCCCCGCTCGGCTGACCTGTGAGGGAGGGACAGGCCAAGATGGGCTTCCTGGGATGGAAAGAGGTGGCCAGAGGCTAGTGGAGGGGACTGGGAGGGCAGAGTGGGGAGAGGGGAGGAGCCAGGCCAGGGTGGGAGGACCTGATGGCTGCTCCCCGCCCCCCAGGATTGAGTCATAGCCCCCCCCCCGGCCTGTCCTGGCACAAGGGGCGGCCAAAAGGATGTACGTAGTCTTTGCCAGGAGTAGGCTTCAGTCCGAGCTGGTCCAGTTCTCAACAGCACCTCAGTCTTTGTGTTGAGGGTGGGGGGTGATTGAAGAGGCTGGCAAGGGCGCCCATGGGGTGCCCCCCACCTGGCATTCACAGGTGCAGCTCGTGGGCTTTGATACGCTCTAGCTGTTCCCTAAGCTGCAGGAAGGTGGGCCGGGTGGCAGCATCCAGGTGCCAGCAATTCCTCATGACCTCATAGACGGCGGCTGGGCAGCCATCGGGGGCGTCCATTTTGTAGCCTTTCTCTACTCTCGGGACCACGTCCTTCAGAGGCTGGGGGAAGACCACCCGACGCTGGAGTCTTTGGGGGATCTCGACCTGCCCCGCTTCCCCAGCCCCCCGCAACCCTCGGCCCGACAACTTACGATTCTCGGATAAGGCACTCGGCCGAAGGAGTAGATTTCCCAGAGGAGTATCCCGAAACTCCACACATCGGACTTGGTGGAGAATTTCTGCTCGAGGGGGAGGAAGGAGCAGAATCTGAAAGCGAGGCTTGAGGCCCTCCTAGCTACCCTGACCTGCCCACCTGTGGACCTTGGGGTCCAGGCGCTCAGCCCAATATGGCCTTGGAGGATCAAAGGGCCGTCTATCTGGAGTTAGAAGAGACCATCTAGTCCAGGGGTGGGGACCTGCTGCCTCGAGGCCACACGTGGCCCTCTAGGTCCTCAAGCACAGCCCTCTGACTGAATCCAAATCCACTCTGGCTTTGAGGTCGCAGGTCCCCCTACCTGAGTCCAATGCGACTAAAGGTCCGGGAGAGAGAAACTACCTTGCTGAAGGTCACAGTTAGCCAAGGAGTCATCAGGATTTCAAGTTAAGTCTCTGGACTCCAAATTCGGTCCTCTTTTCACTACACTATACTCCATAGGGGTGGCAGGCTGAGATGGGGCAGGGACGGCCTCCTACCTTTTCTCTCAGGGCTTCGGGGGCGGTCCACTTGACGGGCAGTTTCCCAGTGTCCTGGGTGCAGGAGGCCTCTTTGGTGAGGCCGAAATCGCTGACTTTGGCGATGTTGTCTTCAGACACCAACACGTTCCGGGCAGCTAAGTCCCGGTGCACAAAGTTGTTGGCCTCCAGGTATTCCATCGCCTCACAGACATCTCTGGGAGGGAAGGGTTGGGAGGTCAAGGGCTGATTCAGGCCTACATGCTCAGGCCAGCTTCCTATGTGAACCCTAATCCCCTGACCAATCTCACTCCCACTGACGGTCCTGTGACTCTGAATCTCATTTCCCACCTCCTGGCCTTTGAACAGACTGTCTCCCATGCCTGGAAAGCTCCCCAAATCCTCCCCAACATCTCTTGGAATTTTGAGTTTGGCTTAGATGCCATCTCCTACCTGAGCTCAGCCCTACTCATCAAAATGCCTCTGTAGGGACTTTATATTTAGTTACCTGTGGACAAGTTGCAAACCCCACCCCTGTAGAATAGAAGCCCTCTGAGGGCAGAGACTTTCATTTCTGCCTTTCTGTCTTCTCACATGCCTAGCATGTGGAATAAGTAAGCACCTAATAATAACAATAATAATATCAATAATAACAGTTAACATTATATAAGGCTTTAGGTAAAACGTTTTAAGGGGCAGCCAGCTGGCTCAGTAGATGGAACACTGGCCCTAGAGTCAGAAAGAACCTGAGTTCAAATTCAGCCTCAGACATTTACTAGCTGTGTGACCCTGAGCAAGTCACTTAACCCCATGGCCTGCCCCACAAAACAGTCTTGAGTCTTTTTGACTCAAAATCTGTCCCCTTTGCAACAAACCCTACATCCCACTCTGACAGGAAGCTCCCTGAGGGGGAGGACTGTGACTTCTCTCCTGGGTCTCCCTCCACAGTGCCCAGCACTGGGTTCCACCCACAGGGTGACTTAAGGCCTCCCTCATTTTTCCTCAAGACATGACAATCCCTGACCCTTTCCCAGGCCCCCTCCTCATTGGCCCTGGTGGTACTCACAGGGAGAATTTGAGGAGGCAATCTCCACCCAGCACCGACCTGCCCCTGGATCGAAGATAATCCACCAGGCTGCCCTGGGACAGGGAGATAAATTCCCAAAGAATCATCAATTAAGAGCTGGAATGGTCCTCAGAGGTCTTTGAGTTAGACCCCCTCATTTAACAGCCGAGGAGTGGAGGCCTCAGGTCCTTGGCCTCCTCCTGAGGTCCAGAGGGGCTGTCTTGCCCAAAATCACAGAGATGGGCAAGTCAAAGAGTAGGATCTGAACCCAGTTCCTATGTCTCAGGATGTTGGCCCAGGATGCCTTTCTCGGGACTGTCAGCCTTCTCTTTCCCTCCAACATCTCCCTGGGTCACTGATTCCAATCGATGGTGTCAGGAGAATTCTGAAGTTCTTCGGGAAGGGGGTAAGAGCTGGAAAGTGTCCCCCACCCCCCAAAAAGAGACTGCAGGGAAGGAGGAATGATGGAAAGGGAGCATTTAGAGAAGGATGGGGGAGGGTGTGGAGAGGGGAAACAGAGGGAGGGCTGCTCACCTTGGCCATGTATTCCGTGACAATATAGAGGCCCCCCTTCTCCTCCACAATCACGCCCAGGAGCTGCACCAGGTTGCTATGCCGGAGTTGCCTGGGGTGAAGGAAACCACCGGGTCAGCTCAGACACTGGCTCCCAAGTCTTCCCCCCGCCCCAGTCTCAGCACCCCTTCCCTACTCACGTCATGACCGAGGCTTCTGCCAAGAAGGCCTGAGCGGTGGCGTCATTCTTAATGCACTTAACGGCAACTTTGTTACCCCGGTAGTCCCCAAGCATCACATCTGGGGATGACAGGCGGGGGTACAGGGTTGAGACACCTGTGGCCCCCCAGCCTGCCCTCCCTCCCTATCCCCTCTGGATCCCAGCCTGGCACAACCACTCACCCCCAAACTCGCCCTTGCCAATGGTTTGAAGCAGCTTAAGGTCTTTCATGTTGAGAGCCCAACCACCTGTCCGAGGAAGGAAGCTTAGTGTTAGGGAGAGGAGGACAGTGGACTGGAGGGGCAGGGGGACCGAAGTGGGCACAAGGGACCAGGGTAAGCCTGGCATGGGCTCGGAGCAATGAGAAAGTGCTACCCTAGGGCACCCAGGAAGAAGAAGCAGTTGGGGGGCCTGGGGATGGAGATGAAAGGATGGGGCTTGGGTGGCATCTGCAGAGAAAGGGGAGCGGGCACTCACTTCGGGAGAACTCATCTTGGGCTGCGACAGTCCCCTCCATGACCTTTGGTTTGATGAGGCGGGTGCAGAGCCCATCGGCATCGCTGGTGTAGTGCTGGGGGGGAGAGGAGTGGGCGGACATGGTACGGGGGCTCTGAGGGAGCCCTGGGCATCCCAGGCCTATGCTCGCCAGCCCAGCTCCCACCGCCCTCTTCAGACTCCCCACTGACTGTCAAATGAAGATCCAATGCTTTAGCTCTGCACTCAAGGCTCTCCACAGCCTGACGCTGCCCAGCCTCTGGCCTTCCTCTGGGTTACCCGCAGGATCACAGCATTAAAGCTGGGACAGACCCGAGGGCCAGATAGATGAGGAACTGAGGCCCACACAAGGTAAGTGACTCCCCAAGGGTCAAACATTCACAAAGTATTCGAGACAGGATTCAAACCAGGTCCCAAAGCTGTACTAGCTAGGAAGTGGCTGCACGTTTTGGAGCCTCAGTCTTCTCATGTGTAAAATGGGGACAATAACAGCCCTTACATCGCAGCGCTCAGAGAGAATAAGGAAAAGGTCTTTGTCCAACAGATCGCAGATTCAGAGTTGGAAGGAATCCCAGAAGCCTCTAAGTCCAATTCCTTGTTTGGCAGATAAGGAAAGGAATGACTTGCCCAGGCTAGGAAGTGTCTAAGGCGGGATCTAAACCCAGTCCCTTGGAGCCCACAGTCAATGCTCTTTCCATTGTACCTGAATAATACAATCACAGCCAGCATTTATACAGCGCTTTACAAAAATGAGCCTGTCTTAATAAAACAAATTAAATTAATAAAATGGATAATTTTGATTATGTTAAATTAAAAAGGTTTTACACAGACAAAATCAGTGCAGCCAAGACCAGAAAAGGAAAGCAGAAAGCTAGAAAAATATTTTTCATGGCAAATGTCTCTGATAAAGGCCTCATTTCTCAAACTGAGAGAGAACTGAGTCACAGGGTGGAGCCAAGACTGTGGAGTGCAAGCAGGGACTTGCTTGAGCTCTCCCCCAAACCCCTCAAAATACCACCAGAAATGGCTCGAACAAATTCTAAAGCAGCAGAATCCACAAAAAGACAGAGAGAACTGAGTCAAGTTTATAAGAATACAAATCATTCCCCAACTGACAAATGGTCAAAGGGTGTGAACAGGCAGTTTTCAGACAAGGAAGCAAAGCTATCTCTAGTCCCATGAAAAATGATCTCATTCCCACAACGACCCTGGGAGATAGCTGCTATTATCATCCCCATTTTACAGGCGAGGAAGATGAGGCAGACAGAGGTTAAGTGACGGGACCAAGGTCACACAGCCAGTAAATGACAGAGGCCAAACTGGAACTCAGGTCTTCCCGATTCCAACCCCAGCACTCTGTCACTACAGCACCGCCTAGCTTAAACAACTACAGAAACAGTAACAATCACAACATTATCAACTCATAAGCCTTAAGCAAACTGTCCTGTGAATCTGTTGGTGGAAAAAGAGGGATTTATGAACGCAATGTGGGAGCAGGAGGCGGTCATCTGGAAGGACCCGGGGCCTGGAGTCAGGAAGGTCTGAGCCCCTGGTACAACTTGTAAGCACCAGGCCAGAGGCATCAAACCCAGAGCCCAACTCAAAATATCCTTGGGCAATGTTGAACAAAATAATCAAAAATACGATACAACAAAGACAACGTTAATTTGCCGTTTTCTAAATCAATATACTCTGTAGGGATCCATTCCTTTTTGAGTCTGAAACCACTCTGCCAGGCTTGGAGGAGGAGAAGGAGGATGATGATGCACAGAAATAGGAGAAACTATGTAACAATGATAATGATGATTAAAATATTATTATTATTAATATAATTAATAATGATAATAATAAATAGTGTTACAAAGTGCTTTATATTATGTGAGCTCATTTGATCCTCAAAACAACCATAAAAAATACAGCGTTGACTCTCCAGCAAGACATGACCTGGCCACTGGAATCAGACCTCAAAAGGTCCCTATCTCTCATGGGCTGCCGAGCCAACCTCCGTCCTGCAAATGCAGCCCTCGGTACATCCTGGCGAATCTGACCAACACACCGGGCCGGCCTTGGCGTTGTCACAGACCAAACTGGTCCACGATGACCCAGACATAACACTAACTGGGAAGAAACTGCCAAATTAGGGCTTAACAGATGCTGCCCTACACAACACCCAGAATCTCTAAGCTATGAGTAATGAAAAGCGTTTAGAAATCTAGGGATCGTGTAGAGGAGATCCACGCCTGGGGGGACGTCTGATCTGCTGGCTGATTGCAGCAGACGCACTCCCAGGCTGCTGGGAGGAGGTGCCTTCTTTCTAGTACTGTTATTCAAGTACAGTTATTTTACCCATCGGCCCAGTGGGACGGCGAAGCATCCCAGCACCGCCTCTAACGGAACCCCGTGAAAGGTGCAAAGAACCAGTGATAATAATAGTGTTGGCCCAGGCCTTTGCTTGCTGCTCTCTGTGCCTAGAACGGCCTCCCGCCCTGTCCATCTACTGGAGGAGCACCAGCTTAGTACAATGGAGAGCTCTGGATCTGGGTGCAAATCCTGTCTGAAATGGACTAGCGGTGACTCCACAGTCCAGTGAGTCACCGAAGCTTGTGAAGTCTCAGTTTCCTCATCTGTCATACGGGGATGATACCTGTAGCACTTATCTCAAAGAGTGGAGATAATGTACGGAAAGAGCTGGGCCAACCTTAGATATCAGTTACAATGGTTGTTGTTATTAGCAGTATAGTCTTCCCCGACTCCCTCTCTAACCCCACCTCCCATTGGTAATAACTTTTTCCCACTTCAGACCGCCAAAAAAACACCTGGTCTCTGTTTCTCAGGCATCACTGTACACTACAGGGAGTGTGTGTGTGTGTGTGTGTGTGTGTGTGTGTGTGTAAAAGACAGAGACAGAGACAGAGAGAGATAGGAGAGAGGGAGGAAAAGTATGTGCAGGGGGTGGAATAGAGAGCAGTCTGTGAGCAGCAGAAAGGGACTGTACCTAACTCAGTCACTGTCTTTCTCTCAGGGCTTAGCCTAGTGCTCTACATACAGCAGGCATTTAATAATCCTGGTAGAACTGGGGAGTTGGGAGATGAACGCTCTGGGTCTCCCCACCCCCCATCCAGCTGATTCAAGGTGCACTTCTAGCTTCTGGCCACCAGAGGGCAGCCTAGTACCAGGCTGGTTTAGCCCTCACTCCTATGAACGCGTAAGCTCAACCTGGTCTGAACTTTTCTGGGGTGTGGGGAGGGTTAGGATGAGGAAGCAAAGGGGGAGGGGACTTAGGAGATAAATACTAGAGAAGGCTGGTCTCGATTCTCAGAGTTCCTCACCCTGTATCATTATTTCCCTCACTGTCCAAAGAGGGTCCCTGAATGTCCAGGGGACCCGTTCCCTCAGCTCATCCTCATGGGTCCCCACCCCCTTGAGGGTAATGGAATAAGTTATTCTGTGGGGGCGAGCTGGGGAGCAGGGCTTCCTGCCTCTGCCGGAAACGCTCCAGTCCCTATCGGGTAGAGACACCCACAGGCTTGGGGGGCAGGGGGAAGGGAGAAGAGGCAGTGAAGATCCCAAACTGATGAGGCCACAACAGCCCAGAGTGACTTCAGGGCAGGGATGGAGAAAAAGGGGAGTTTTCTACAGACAAGGGATGCTGAGGAAGGTGCCTCCCACTCTAGGGTCCATTCTGGACCCATTTACATAGTTGTTACAAGGTTATTAATACACACAGGGCTTTATTTTGGCTAACACATCCTTGCTGAACCCTTGTGAAGTAGGAAGTACGGTTATTCCCATTTTACAGATGGGGAAACTGAGGCAGAGAGTAACTCAATCAATAAACATTTATTAAGCACCTACTGTGTGCCAGGCACTGTGTTAAGTGCTGGAGGCAAAAGACAGCTCCTGCCCCCAGGAGCTCACAATCTAATGGGGAGTGCCTGAGTCACCCTGATTTCTGAAACCAAGTTCTAATTCGGTGTTCACAAGGCCATTTGTAGTGCAGGGGATGTGCCACACCCAAGTGTCTGAGGCAAGGCACACATGTCTTTTGGCTTTTTGGTAAGGGACCACATTTTCACATGTATCTGTGTGTATGCACACACATGTCTGACAATGTCACACATGTAACTGCACACAGAAGAGGAAGACACTGTGTGGGAGAAACAAGGCCTGGTCTGGAAGTCAGGAGACCCAGCTCAGCCACTGAACCACGTGACCACAGTGGGACCTTGGGGAGAGCAGTTTCCTTTCTCTTGAGCCTGTCTCTCCACATGTAAAAGGTGGCAGCTGGCAGTCCAGCTGCCAGAGCCCAGCCTTCTCTATGCTCCCACACTCTGCACTCACAGGGTTTCCCACATAAAAGGTGTGTCCTGGGTGGAGAGGCTTGTGGCCAGGGGGAGGGGCAGGGCTGGCTCACAGATGGGGCTGGGACATAACCCAACCCAGCACACCCTGGGCTGGCCAATCAGCTGCTGAGTGTGTGTATGCGTGGGGGGAGGGGGGGCGGGCTTTTGGGGAGAGGAAAGAAGGTGGGTCAGGCTTGAGGATTTGCCTTTATTAATTTTTTTTTATTGACTATAAATACCCCAAAAGAGTTTCCATATACACAGCAAAACAGAAAAAGAGGATTGTATATGAAACTGTGCTTTAAAAAAGAGTCTAATAAGTTTCACTGATTACTTTCAAAACTGTCCAGCTTCTTTCTGTCTCTTGTGCATTTAAAGAGGTGTTCCAATGGCCCTCTTTCTACCTGCCTGGGTCAGACAGGGCAACCAGATGGCACCAAACCTGAATTTGATCATAAGCTACATTAAGCAATACACATAACAAGGGGGTGGGGTGACCATTCTCCTGTCCCCCACCCCAGGCACACCTATAGGACATGTCTGTCTTGGTGTTAAATCTGTGGAGTGCCCCTGAGAAACAGAACCCAGAGGAAAGCTGGGATGGCCAAGGGGAGTGAACGCGACAGAAGAGGGTGAATTCAGGACATCTGGCCTTAGGATACTTGCTGACCACTACCTCGAAAAAAAAAAATCTGAAGGGCCATCTTGCAGTAGGAGGATTACTCTGAGTAGTAATAATATTACCAACAAGCTAGCATTTACAGAACACTTCGAAGGTTTGCAAGAGCATCTTACAAATAGGATCTCATTTGATCCTCACAACAACCCTGGGAATTAGGGACTGTCATTATCCCCATTTTAAAGATGAGGGAACTGAGGCATATAGAGGTGAAGTGACATAGCTAAGTGTCTGAAGCAGAATTTGAACTCAGATCTTCCTGACTCCAAACTTGCTGCTCTATCCACTGTACCACCAGCTGCTTCTAATTAGACTTGTTTTGTCTGAAGGCTGATAAAGGAGAGGTCAACTATGACATTCTTGGGGCTGGAACAAAGCTTAGAGATCAGTGAACTGCAGATGAGGAAACTGAGGCAAACTGCCTTGCCTAGGGTCACACAGCTAGGAGGTGCCTGAGGGAGGGTTTGAACCAGATTCCACTAGAGATTCCCAATCTTCAAACCACAATCTTTTGGAGGGGGGCTATGGAGTTATCACAAGGCGCCCGAGACTCCCTGTGGGCCTCCTTAAAGCAGCAAACCCACTTTCTGTGGACTCAATGTGTCCTCCACAGACCTATTACTTTCAAATGTGCACAGATGCTGTTGTGCTTCATGAAATACAAATCTGAGTGTTACTGAATTATGGATTCTCCATATTATATGATCCTGCATTTTCCTCCGTCGATGGCTGTTAAAAGCACAGCTCCTACGCTCTGGCAGTCTGAGGCTGAGACGTTCAGGAGCTGACAGGGCTGTTGTACTCACAGTCAACTAGGTGGGGATCCCAGCTTTAAATGTGGGGTCTTAATCCGGGGCTCTACTAATAGATTTCAAGGATCCCTGGACTTTTAAAAAAACTGGTAACTGTATTCAATGTAATTGGCTTCTTTTGTACTTTGTTTTATGCATTTAAAACCACAAATTCAAGAAGGGGTCGTCACCAGGCTGCCCCAGAGGGCCACGATGCCAACAGGGCAAGAATCCTGGGCCTAGATTTAAGCGCTGCTTCTGGCCTTCCAGAGACAAAGAGGTTGGAAGGCTGTTAACTCCCCATCACGCATGTGGCCATGCCAGATGCCCCCCCAAAGCCAATCACAGCCACAGCCCTTGTACCACACCAGCCACTCACCTCTACCAGCTGCATGAGATTCTCAAAGTAGACCTCCTCGTCGATGCTGAGCTTGCTGGCAGAATAGATGATTCGGTAGTGTTCCACCTTGCCCTCACAGCTCACGCACAGCGTGTAGTCCCCCGGGTAATTGGTGCTCTCTCGGACCAGGAAGAGGCCTGTCTCTGGGGGGTACAACAGCCTCTCTGCCTGCTCCCGAGTGATCTTCCCATGGAACCACCTAGGGAAGGGCACACACGGGGTATCAGAGCTGGAGGTCGAACCCCGGCTTGGGGCAATCCTGGGGCAGGGCCCCTGCAAGAGTATATGTTTCATGTATATGTTCTCTTACTTAATAACCTTCAATAGCTCCCTGCTATCTAAAGGAGAGAGTTCATCCTGAATTTGGTTTGAGATGCCAAACTAGTAATCTAGTGAGAGGCAGGCGACAGAGAGCCAGCCTTGCAGGTGGGAAGATCTGGGTTCAAGTCCTACACAGCTCTGATGCTGGGCAAATTAACCTCTTCGCCTTCCAGGCATCTAAGATTATTAATTGTAGAGGAAGGTGGTAACTTGGGCTGGTTGGTGGCGTTTCCTCACCTGGAAGTTCATCTGGCACCAGCCAAGGCTCCCTCCCCCTCCCTGGGCACACATCTGGCTTGTTCCTATCTCCGGATCTCTGGTTATATCATTCCTCCAATAGTGCACTCCCCTTCCTCTCCGCCTCTCTAAATCCTGCCCACCTTCTGTGTCTGGGGAGTCTGCCCCCCAACCTCTACAGCCCACACTGGGCCCCCCCTTTCCTGACTTCCTAGACCCCCTAGATTCTAAGCACCAGGTCCAGTCATGGGATTCTACATGGCTTAATAACAAGAAGCGTTTACTAAGCACCCATTACATACCAGGTTCTGTACTAGGCACTGCTGTCACAAAGACAAGAGTCCCTGCCCTCAAAAGGATTACATTCTATTGAGGAAAGCCACAACTGCTCATGAGTCAAGCAAACGCAATGTTCATACACATAATTTGGCGATGAGATGGGGAGCACTAAGAACTGGGGGAACTGGGAAGTGCCTCTTGGAGAATGGGAGTGAGGCTGAGCCTGTGTGCAGGCAGTGTCTACACCTACCACTACAACGTCATCTAACAAAATGCACCTGGGGGCCGCGGCTCCAATGCTTCCTAACTGTGCCCCCTTGGACAAATTACATCCCCTCTCTGAACCTGCACTGAAAAGCTCCCTAGTGAGTTATGAGGAAAGCTCTGTGTAAACTGAAAAGCATGCTAGAAATAAATGTTACTGCTACTGTTGTTATTGACACGGATGGGACCTGCAGTTTCATTACAGAAGGGACCTCCCAGGTGAGGAAAGGCCCTTTACAAAGCAGGTCACCACCATCTTGGAGGGTGGCCTGGGGCACTAATGGTGGAAGGGTCTTGCCCAGGGCCTCGCAGTCAGTCAGGTCAGAAGCCAGGTCTTCCTGGCTCCAAGGCACTGAGAGAGGCTGAGCTGCCTCTCTATTATTGTTATTACTAAGAATTATTAATTAATATTATTGATGACAACAAGAATAATTGTTTTGTCTCCTTAGATGGACCCGGAGCTTCCCGAGGCAGGGACTATGTCCCTTCCTTCTCCTTCCTGGTAAGTGTCTCCCCAGAACCAGGCCCACCCAAGAAGGTGCTGAATTAAGCACATTGCCGCTCCCCCCAATACATGCCTTGTGGGCCCCCAAACTCTCTGCCTCCTGAACCTCCTCTGCCGCCCCACTTCCTTCCACCCCTTGGCTCACACTGTTCCATGCCCTCTCTTCAAATGCTGGAAAGCCCAACTTTAAACGCCCCCTCCCCCAACCCTTCCCCAAATACACACACAAATAACGACCTGCCAGATAGCACTCTGACCCACCATTCTCTAGTTCCTTTATCTTATAACACTGTGCATCACAGTTATGTCTGGATTCCTTCCCCTACTAAGGCATGCACAGACCACGGCAGCACTGGGCTTCAAACCACCCCCAGTGCCCAGCACAGCGCCCTGCCCCCAGCAGGCGCTTGACTGCCGTCTGATGCCCCACCTGGGTCACGGGATACCTTCAGGGGCATCCGGACATACGAGAGGCCAGACGGGGAATGGGCACCGGGAGGCTGACGGGGAAGGGGAGGAGGAGGCAGCCCAGGGCAGAGAAGGAACGGCCTCCTCCCTTCCTGATGATGCCTGGCCTGGCTACTCACGGCATGAGGCTCAGCTTGGTGCCAGCTTTCACTCCTTCCCGCTTCTGCACATAGTTTGCTGGGATGATGCCTTCCCGGCCAACCTTGTTTTTGGCTTTGTACCAGTTGGGGTCCTAGGGAGGGAAAAGAGGTGCACGTGTGAACGGGACACCAGCTGCCAGCACCCCCCCATCCCGACGGTGAATGAGAGTCCTGCCCCTCACAAGAGGGTACAAGGCCGGGATGGGAAGGGGTCTACGTGACAAGAGGTGACCCCAGGAGCCACGACGGGGATGGACCGAGGTACAGAGCATTGGGTAGGGCCTGGATGCCCTGGCTCTCAAACAGGCCATCCCCTAGGGAAGGACCCCTCTCATGAAGGGGACCAGGCATCGGGAAAGAGAAAGGACGGGGAGGAAAGGGGGAGGGAGAAAGGAGGGAAAGAAAGAGTCCGCTGTTGCTAGGTGACTGTTACCTTGGTGACAGCAACTATGGTGAGCACATCCCCTTTGCTGAAGGGCAGGTCTTGCTCGGCTGTGCCGTGGAAGTTGTACTTGGCAATACATTCTGTACCGGATGGCCAGACGGCCTGTCAGACAGAAGGACAGCACGGGGTCAGGCACCCATCTCCAGAAGGGACCTGGAGACCTCCCAGCCCCCTCTCCCAGCAGGAGGTCCCAGCCACCCAGTGGGGGGTCCCAGCCCAGCCCAGTCCCAAGTATCACATGTTATCACTTCTTCAGGCTACAGGGGGAAGAGCCTGAGACCTAGCTATTAAACCTGGATTCTGTCCCTAATATGCTGTGTGACCTTGGGTATACTGATTAACCTCACTGGACCTCAATTTTCTTCTCTGGAAATTAAGCAGGAAAAGAACTAGATGATTTCTGAGGTCCCTTCTGGTCCTGAAATCCCACCCTCAATTGCCAGCTCCCATGTCCAGAAGACTTCCTGGCTCCAAATAGAATTTCTCTCAATGAAATTAAGAAGCTAGCATTGGGGGACAGGCAGGAAAGGGGCCAGGGGACCAGGATTGGAGAGATCCACCCCATCCCTGCCTCTCCTTCCTGGGAAGCAGAACCCCTGAATCTGGGCGCTGAAGGTCCAGCCCAAATGCACCTGAAGGCACTCCTTCTACCACCTGGGGGCAGGGTGCGGTGTTCACTCAGCCTTGGAGACCTCCAGAGATCAAGAGCCATTAGCTAAAGGGACCTCAGGAATGACCTAGTCCAAGTGGCCCATTTTACAGATGAGAAGAGACTCAGACCCGAAGTCGGGAGGGAACTTGCTGCAGATTCCACAGTGTAGACAAGCAGAACCTGGATACAAGAGTGGGCTCTCGCCTCCAGACTCAGGGCCCTGTGCTGAGTGCCCACTGCCCAAACTGGCCGAGGTAAGAGGAGGGTCTGTCCTCTCCGCTCCCTCCTCGCTCTCTCTTCCCCAGTCCTGTCCATACCTGGATTGCCGACATCTTCTCTGGAGTTCTGACGTCCGACTCTCACAAGAAGGATCCGTCACTAGGTACCATTAGAGCTAGAAAGAGGGAGGCCAAGGAAGAGGGGGCAGTGTGAGGAGGTGGGCCCCAGGCATTGCCCTCCTTCTCCTCCTTCTCCTCCTCCTCCTCCTCTCCTCCCAAGGCTTGGCTTTACCCAGGGGCAAAGCAGGTCTGTCAGGAGGGATGCTGGGGGCCCCAGGGGCTTCCACATTTCTCCTCTAACATGATGACTGAGAACTCTTTTCCAGAGGGCGGGTCCTTCATCACTTGGGGCCAGGGGAGTTTAGGCTTAGGATGCATGTGGCCCTGGGAGAGTCTTAATGAAGGCACCTCAGTTAATCATACACTTGAATTCTCTGGGGCTCAGTTTCCTCATCTATAAAACTACGTGGCCTCGAAGGTATCTTGTAGTTTTAAATCTACGGTCTGATGACCTTGAAGGGCCAAAGGAAGAATCATTAGGATGCAGTAAGTGACCGGCTCTAGGAGCTGAAGGAAAACAAGTTTCCAATCTGGGTGAGCAAGGCTGAGCTAACAGGAATCAGGCAAAGAGAAAGAGCTGGTGAGCAGAGCAGTCCCACCAGACTGCACACCGCTCCCTGGGCTAACGAGATTCTCCGCGGAAATCCACTGTCTTCAAAAGAAAGAGTGACTAAAACAACTTGGGAAGACTTTAAAAAACAGATCACTTAAAAAAGTGATCAATACCCCTGAGCGGCTGGGACTAGAACAATGCCTGGTACACAGTGGGGACCATCCAGGGAGTATAGCTCCCATCTCCCCTCGGAGAGTTGGTAGCCTACGGGTACAGAATGAGGCATGCTGATACCATACAGTGCCAACGTGTCTATTTGTTTTCCTTAAAGATGGCACTTTATTCCAAGGGAAGGTTGTCCAGCACTCCACCAAAGAAGAGAAGAAGTGGAAGAACCACTGAGGTTAAGATCCTGGAGCTGAAGGGACTCCCAGGATGGATGCCTGTTACGCAGCAAAGGGAATGGAGAACAAAAGCATCATCGATGAGCCCTTGCCCGGCTCGTCTCACTCAGGGAAAGCCCCTGAAGCCTCCCCTGCTGGCAGGTGAAGGAATCACATGGGCTGCCCCAAGCAGGTGGGGAGGAGGGAAGCCTGCGACCCTGGGGTGGGGGGTGGGGGGGTTGCTCTGGGTACTAGACCAAGGCACAGCTCATCCATCCAAGCTGACCTTCCACGGTGCCAGGGACCACACACTGGGACGAGATTACTACTAAGGGTGGGCTTGTGATTTTCCTGGCATACGGATTCCCAGGGGGAGGAAAGTCCTCTTCCCAACAATGGTCACCACCCTCTGCCATGTCTGAGAGAGATACCAGGAACACCAAATGCTTCACAGACCTACCCCAAACAGGGCAGGTCAGAGGAAGGGCTCAAACCCAGGGCTTCCTGGCTTCCTGGCTCCCAGCTTCCCTCAAGAACACTATTAGTCTTATTAAAACTCTACCTGACTGGTGGAATGCTTGTCCATTCATATGACAGAGAGAGAGCAAGAGCACAGAACCAGGTGGATTCTGTTGTCATTTACCTTAGGTAAAATTACTTCTCTGTGCCTCAGTTTCTCTGAGTTGCAGTAGATTTACAACTCCTATGTCCAAGGAACATCCAGAGAACAAGGAGACTGGTTGGCTTCCAGTCTCAGGGGGAGCCAGTCTCTTGACTGCATCACCATCGAGATATACACACACACCCCTCTACATATCACCCAGGCCCCAGCCCCCACTAGTCAAACCCAAACAGGAATCCCCCATATAATATTCCTGACAGCCAGCCAGCCTCTTCCTGAAGACCTCCAATGTCGGGAACTCACTACCACCCAAGACAGCTCATGCTACTTTTGGCCCACTCAAATTGTTAGGAATTATTTCCTGATACTGAGCCCATTGGGGCAGACCTGAAGTCAGGAAGACTCATATTCATGAGTTCAAATGCGGCCTCAGACATATAATACTGCCTAGCTGTGTGACCCTGGACAAGTCACTTAACCCTGTTGCCTCAGTTTCCTCATCTGTAAAATGAGCTGGAGAAGGAAATGGCAAACCATTCGGGTATCTCTGCCAAGAAAATTCCAGATGGGGTCATGACCAAAACGACTTTGTCTGCCTCTTTGTCATTTACAAGAACAAGTCCGATCCCTCTCCCAAAGGACAGCCCTCCAAATACTGGAACCTTATCTTGTCCACACTGGGTTCTGTTCTTGGGTCAAAATATCCCCAGTTCCTTCAATTGCTCCATATTAGACCTACTTTTTTTTTTTTAGTGAGGCAATTGGGGTTAAGTGACTTGCCCAGAGTCACACAGCTAGGAAGTATTACGTGTCTGAGACCAGATTTGAACTCAGGTCCTCCTGACTCCAGGACCGATACTCTATCCACTGCACCACCTAGCTGCCCTGTATTAGACCTATTAACCAAACTGGCCTCCATCCTCCAGACCCCCTCCATTGTACTAAGGTCCTTCTCTAGCGACAGGACTGGAACTCAGTACCTCAAGAGGCTGTTCTATTCCTTGATGACTCTAATTGTTGGGAGTCTTGACTCTTCACCACCTCTCCCCCAAGACACCAGTTCTACCCTGGGGCCAACCTCTCCTTCCCAGGATCGAGACTTCCTCCAGTAACAAACCTTCCACTATTTAGCTATTATCCCTCACCCCCCAAGTCTTCTCTTCTCCAAGGGAAGCTTCATTCCTTCCTTCAGCTGACCCTCTCACGATGAAGTCTCCAGCCCCCTCACCACCCTCCCCTCCAGGGATCCCTAAAATGTGGCACCCTCAACTGACAACATGGTCCAGACACAGTCTGCTTGGGGTTCAGTACAGGAAACTAACCTCCTTCACTATGCAAATACTAGGCTTCTACAGGCAGCGGGGATTTTAATCAGCTTCTGCTTGCTAGATTGTCCCATCACAATGCTGAGTCATCTCCGACTTGCGGCCCACTAAAAACCCCAGATCTTTTTCCACATGACCTGTTATCTAATCGCGCCTCTCCCCCATCCTTTACGTGTGCAGTTGATACACGTCTGCCCTCTCAACTAGATGGCGGGTGGCAGGCTCTTCAAAGGCACAGATGCTATCTCTCACATATGTTGTGTGCCCAGCAGTGCCCTGCATGCCAAAGGCGCCCAATTCATTTTCACCAGATCAATGGGGTAGGCATTTATACTTAAACCTATCTGACAAGGGCAGATAGCTGTGTGACTCTGGCCAAGTCATTCAACCCTCAGTTTCCTCATCTGTAAAATTGGGCTGGAGAAGGAAATGGCAAACCACTGCAGTATCTTTGCCAAGAAAACTCCAAAAAGGGGTCACAATGAGTCAAATGAAAGGACTCAACAACCATTTGACAGAAGGGCAAACTGAAGCCCAAAGAGTGGTTCATTCAAGATCACGGAGTCGGTCAGTGGCTGCAGGGAGGAACGGGACTCACATCAGTCCTCTGCTGACTCCATGCCATCAGGACAGGGAGATAGGGTGTTCTGGAAAAAAGCAGGAGTCCCCCTTTCAAATCTCAGCTCTGTCACACCCTACCTAGCACTACGACCCCCCCCAACAGGTCATTTTACGACTCAACTTTTCTATCAGTAAAATGGGGATGGATCCCACCATCAAGTCAGTCAACTGCCGCCCAGGTTTGCAGTGAGTACTCAGTGTTCAGAACTCCCTAAGGGCTGCCCATACCCAGAGGTCCCAGAACTGCTCCAGTCAGCCCCAGTCTGCCGAGCAATCTGCTGGCGAACACTCCCTCTCTTCACTGGCTCTCACCACCCACTGTAGATCCCTCCCTCTCCCCCTGACTCAGGCCCCTAGGAATCCGGCTCCCAGGAAGGATTCTGACTCTTGAAAGATGAGTCCCTCGATCATCAAGTCTCAATCACTGGCAAGCCAACAGTCCCAATCTATCAAAGGAAGGAAAATCCAGGAAGGAAACAAAGAATTCCAGACACCTCCCTGCCCTCAGGGGGCTCCCAGGCAGGTTAGGAAGAACTGGAACACTGGATTTGCTGCTGGGGAGAGCCTAGGGTTCAGGTCCCTGGCTCTGCCCTTCATCAGCTAAGAGACTTGAGAGGTCAGTCTTTTGGCCCCTCTGGGACACTGTTTCATCTGTAAAATGGAGATGACATTTGCACTCCCTACCCTATGGGGTGGTTCTGTGGGGTTACTGTGACGCTGCACTCACAGCCACCCCCCCTGGGTCAGCTCCTCATCGCCTTTCCTGGACTATGGCAACAGCCTCTCACTGGCCTCTCCATCACAGCTATCTAAATAGCAACCCACCTCCGCTGCTAGGCCGCCAGTGATTTTCCTAAACCGAAGGTCTGGCCGTGTCAACCCCTGCCCTCGTGGTCCCCCATTATCTCCAGGATCAAACGTAAGATCCTGTCTGGGGCCGAGCCAGGCCTCTTCCATACCCTCCACAATCTATGACAGCCGCTTACACCTGGAATGCTCTGCCTCTCCAGCCTCCCTCCAAGGTTCAGCTCAAATCCCACCCCAGAGGCCTTTCCAGGGGTCCAATCCTGCACCCTAGCCACCCCAACCCCCAGCTGCTATCAATCAACATTAAGCACTTACTAAGCCAGGCACCAATGCTAAGTGCAGGGGACACAGGAAAACAGACACAAGACAGTGCCTGTCCTCAAGGAGTTTACAATCAGAGGAGTGGCGTGCGTGCGTGTGTGTGTATGTGTGCGTGCGTGTGTGCGTGTGTGTTGGACAACACGCAAACAAATACAAAGTAAGTTAGATACAGGGTAAATAGGAAATAATTAACAGAGGGTCTGCACTAGAATTAGGAGAGGGTGGGGAAGGCTTCTGTAGAAGACAGAATTTTAGTTGGCACATCTTCCTGAGTTCAAATATGGCCTCAGACATTCACTAGCTGTGTGACCTTGGGCAAGTCACTTAACCCTGTCTGCCTCAGTTTCCTCATTTGTAAAATGAGCAGAAGGAAATGGCAAGCCATTCCAGTATCTCTGCCAAGAAAACCCCAAATAGGGTCACA